AAGCTGCTCCTCAGGCTCTGTCAGTGTGAATCAAGGTCTAGGCAGTGTGAAGAGACAATTTTGCAATGCAGGGGAAGAGAGAGAGAAAAGACACAAGCCCCGACCCCACCTCTTTTTTTAAAATAATCTTTTTATTGGATATTTTATTATATTTCAGATGTTATCACCTTTCTTCATCCTCCCACCGAGAAATCCTCTATTCCATCCAACCTCCTCCTCCTTCAATGAGGATTTACCCCCACTCACCACCCTGCCCTTGAATTCCCCCATCTGGGGCTTCCAGTCTTCATGGGACCAAGGACCTCCTCTCCCATCTATGTCTGACAAGGCCATCCTCCCCTACATATGCAGCTGGAACCATGGATCCAAAGCAAGTGAGTTACAGGCCCTGACTTCATCACTCAATGTTCTGTGCTACTACATCGGAGGCACCCATATAGAACCCCTCTAGCATAAAGGCATGTAGGGTTGTAATGTGTTTTCAAAATATTCTTAATGAACTGCAGCTTGGAGCTGAGTAGGAGGGATTGCTTGCCAATCACCCAGTTCTTGAAAGAGGCTAACTCCACAGAAAGTCTTGTAAATGATCACAGAAATGAAGAACTGGAAATACATAGGAGAGTGTCTGGACAAGGTAGAGGATGGTTATCTGGGCTTGGCTGTGTTTATGGTTAGACATGAGTCAACAAACTGCCCCTGATGCTTCATGTATCCTACCTGCTGCTGCTGCTGTTGGGTATACTTGTCGTATGTCTTCAAGCTGGCCTCCACACATAGCCTCTTTGTTTTCTTAGTACACTCTTCCAGTGCAATCTGCTCCCTTAGCAGCTGCCTGTTCTCGTTCCACAGAATTTTTGCTTGATTCTTTATATGAAGAGACTCTGCAAGGAGCTGACAGTTCCTGATGCTGAACCACAAAGAAGAAACGGTGATTTGCAGGAAGCATCCATCTTCCTTCCACTTCTCCAAGTACCATCCCTTCTAACCATGAGCCCTGGTCCCCAGACAGACACAGACTACAGACCAGAGCAGCCATAGAACATCACATATAAGAAGGTCAAATCGAGAACAGAGTAACATTCCAGAAGACTCAAAGTACTTCTGAAAACCGTGACACCAACAGGGTCTCATATACCTAGCAGAAGAGTACGTAGGCCCCATGATTGTCTATATGTCCAGGTATTAGAAAACCACCTGTAGGTAGAAAGAGGACAAACCTTATCTAGAAGAGGAGAACAGACTCAACAGATATACAATCGTTCTATGTGTCTCATGCAAACCAGATCTATAAATCTGTTTTCAGGGCCCAGAGACTCAAGGTTGACTGATATCTCCATTAAGGTGCACACCTTTTCTATCCTCTGGATAGAAAAGGT